AAAAACAACAAGGAGTCTGGTGGCACCTTAAAGCTAGTCTTTAAGGTGCCACCAGACTCCTTGTTGTTTTTGTTAGCGTAACTTTGTTGATCGGGGGTGTGGCTTTTTCCTACCCCTTACTGATGTAGCTGAGTCGACTTAACTTTTTAGTGTAGACCTGGCCTTACACTCTCACCGCCTGCACCAGGTGGATTCAGCAGAGAAGGGACTGGAATGCCTTCAGGAGAGTGTGTGGCCTACCGGTTAGAGCAGAAGACTTTGAGGACTCCTGGGTCCAGTCCCCCACCTCTGGGAGGAGAGTGTGATCTAATGATCAGAGCAAGGGGCCGGGGGACAAATTGGGGAGTCAGAACTTATGGGTCCTGTTCCAGACAGAATCTGAGAGCTTCGGCGAGTCACTGAGCCTTATTCTACCTCAGTTTCCCCATTGCTAAAATGGGTTCAGTAATGTACCTCCTACTGCACAAAGCTGTCGGGAGGCTCGGTGAACAGTTGCCAAGCCACCAGCCAAAGCCCTTGAGGAAAAGAGCTAGAAAGCGGCACTAATTTAGCCCTCAGCCCCTGGCCTGAGCCAACGCGGCACCTTTCTCCAGTGTTAATTTCACCAGCAAGAATCGAGACTCCAGCCCTGGAAGGAAGCAGGGTCTGCACCTACGGCAAGGAGAGGGCATCTCCGCTGAGCGACTCGACGTCCCCAGCACCAGATCATCACCACGCCTGCGTTTACTGACCCAGAGCCAAGTGCTACGAGTAGCACCATGGCTTCCCTTCTCCTGACACGCCCTGCCGGGTGGATCCAGCCACGCTAATGGCTCGGGCGGCCTGGGGAATGAGACACCCAAAGCAAAGCTCATGAGCGAGAGACACTGGGTGCTGACACCCACCAGCCTTTAGACACTTTGCTCTCCCGTGCTGTAGATGCTATCACACCAGCCCTTCGAAGGGACCAGTGGCTGCTCGGCCCAGATAACGCTCACGCAGGAGGTCAGGGAGCCTGGTGGGGGAAGATACCAAGGAAACGTTTCCGCCTCGGTGCTAAATGCAAGACTGAATGCGTGCAGGGACTGGGCTAGTCGTGCTCCTAGAGCATCTTCCCCCGGGGCCGCTCGGAGTATTTCAGACAATGGGCCCCGTCCTCCGTCCCCTTGTGCCGCCACTTACCCCAGCTCGAAGCAAGCTTAGAACCTGTTCGCAGCTGGTAGCGTGTTGCGCCCCTTTTGTCATGGGAAAGTGACTGCAGGAGGGGCCTGACTCCATTGTCCTGCCCAACGAGTCCAGCCTCACAGCCCTCTCTGGGACCTGGGTGAGCGTTATTGTCCCTGCCCCTTTTTACAGAGGGGGAAACTGAGCCACAGAGAGGGGACGGGACGTGCTCCGTAGGTCCTAGTGCCCCAGCTGGGACCAGGAGCCCTGACTGCCCAATCCGGAGCTTTCGCCCCAAAAGCTTATCCTTCGGAATTCCCTTCCCAGCCTGTAGTAGGGGATTCAGTCAACTCTATGGGGCCGCCACACAGGCCAGCTATTCTCCAAGCCATTAGCCCCGGGCAGAGCAACTAACGCGCATTCAGGGTGGCCTCCCTGAACACCGGATCCAAATATCTTTATCCCAGAAAAGGCTGCTCTGAATGAACGGCCTACACCTCCCGCTTTTAGCGGACCTCTTTCCAACCCAGATCTCTCCCGTACAGAGGAGACACTGGATATTGTCTGTGGTTAGAGCCAGGACCCCGGCACTCCATTCCCAGCTCAGGTCTTGGCTACACTGGCGCTCAGGGGGTGTGAAAACACCCTCCCCCGAGTGCAGCGAGTGCAGCGCTGTAAAGCGCCAATGTAATCAGCGTCTGCCGCGCTGCACGCTCGCTCGCCGCGCTGCACGCTCGCTCGCCGCGCTGCAAGCTACTCCCCTCGGAGCTGTGAATTGCCAAGCGTAGCCAAGGCCTCAGTGAAGGACCTCGAACCAGTCACTTCAGCTCCGTTTCCCTCTATGTGTAAAGTGAGCCAAGTAACTACCTCTCTTGCAGGCTTTGAGAACCTCAGAGGAGTCACGCTACAGAGGCAAGAAACGCTGTTTCGACTGGAACGCCTCCCCAAAGCGGAGTTGTTTTGATTCATTTAACTCGTGCCTCACTCTGAATAACTTCACAGCCCGGAGGAAACAATCAGAGCAGAATGCAATAAATCCTGCTCATTACAAGGGGGAAAGTCCCCAACAAGGACTTTTCAGATCAGAAAGCTTCCTGAAACCCAACCCAACTCCTCCACGCTCACCCACCCCTACATTCACTGTCAAGCTCTTCCCAGAATTCATGCTCACAGTAACCAGTACAGTGACTCTAAGTAGTAAATGAATCATGCAATATCGACAGCCGGGGAAATAAACCCTGTTCTTCACTCTCGCTGCTGATTCACAGGTCTCTATTTGAGACATCACAACACTTTGGTCTCTCTTGGTAACCACTGTCACTGCCTGTTCTCCAAGCACAAAGCAAGGTAGGAGCGGAGCTTTCAAGATAAATGGCCTGAGTCACTGATTGTCGCTTTTAATAACTAGGCTCAGAACAGGAGTGGTCATTTGGGAATCCCCTCGGGGAAGGGAGCTTTTTCCAAGAGGGTCTGTTTGTGTCAGAGAATGGCAGCAAAAACATCCAGTTTTCGAGAATGCACATTCCATTCCAGTAAGCAACAGATCCTACAGATTACATACAGGGATCACTGCAATGCAGCCACCTCTGGAGTGGAGCAGGGCAGCTGTTTAACAGCCACGCCGCAGCAGGAGCTGGCTGCAGGCTGGGCATGACTGTAATGGATGGCCTAAGAAAAAGATTGAGGAGATTGTTTTAAAGTTTAAGGCTGCAAAACCTTTAGAAAACACGGCTCCTGTTGGAGTAGCAAAATCTCTTCCTCCCCATATCCTTCAAAATCCTCTCCCATCCTGGCATGCCCACGGCCAGGGGAGAACAGACACAGACATTCAGTGCATGGAAACCTGCATTCAAAATCCATCTCCAAATAGTAACGAGACTCTAGGATCTAAATGCAGAACTAGCTACAGTTCTAGGCAGAGATGACCACGGAGTTATCTAGAGACAGATCCGTCGTTGGGGAGAGACACAGGAAGCTAAATATAAAATCCTGGGCAGCTTTTAAAGACATCTGTAAAATGTTCCTCCTGCTTTCTGCGGGAGCTGATTATTCATGGCAGGCTGTCCCTTTCGGGGGCCTTTTAGAAAATAAACTCCTTTACAGCAAAGCCAGGGAGGTAGGACGCTGCAGATCTAATGCAGGAAGGGGAGACGCGCTTTGTTTGCCATCACGCAAACCTGGGTTCGAATCCCGCTCATGCTCCCTGGAACTGACTGTGGATGGGAGCATGATGGAGGCAGCCGACTTAGCCTTTTGGGAGCATCCCCTACTGCTCAGCAAGGATCGGGGCTCAGCAGAGACCAGAATACGCCAGAGCTGCAGACCCTAAAGGGTCATGTTCTGATCCAAACTCCATGAAGTCCAGGGGAGTCCAGGACTTTTGAATCAGGACCACTGGGTGAAGCTGCAGGGCTCTGAAGTTTTCTGGATACAGGAGCCACTCCCAACCGCCATTGGATCCCTCTGACCTCCACCACCGCCCGCTGGGGACAAGCACCTCCGCCATGCAGGCCGAGGAGACACAGAACGGGAAACCCAAGTCCCCAGGGAACCCTTGCTGGTTGGGGGCCAAGATCCAAGGCATGGGAGGGAACCAGCTCGCCGGCATGGGCAGAATGCCACCATGTGCTATCGAGCTCCCTGGTGCCAACTCTAGTATAGCAGGGAGGTGCGTGCGTGGGGAAAGGGGGGGTTAGGCAAATTTGGCAGCAGCAGGGGAAAGGAAAATACAATAGCGGGAGGGGAGGGACAGAATTTGAAGCTACCAGACAGACAGAACCAGGGGGGGGCCCCCATCACACCCCAGAGCACCGCAGTGAGAAGATGAGTTTGACACGCCGCCAAGCCCTTGAATCCCATTTGGCTGACCAGGCTCAGGCTAGTTTCGAAAGAGACGCAGCGGAGCCATGGATCTGCGCTCCAGCCCGTTCCCAAAGACCCTCCCGCATGGCATCTCGCACTATAAGCCCAGAAAACCCCCTGGCCACCGGTAACGGGGACATCTCAGCTCCCACAAAACAGGTTTTTAAATGACTGGCAAAGGTGGAGTGGGGGAATATGCCAGGGAAGCAAGATCTGCAGGCAGGAGAGCCGGGGCCGGCTAGACCTGGGCCAGCGAGACCAATACCGCAGGGCTTATTCAGCAACCTCAGAGAGAATCGAAGATAGAGATAGGTCCCGAAATGCAAATCCAGAGGCATCTGGATCCGGGGCACCGGATCCAGCCTATTAGAGAAAGGGACGCCAGACGCAGAGTTTAGATTCGGATACCGACCCCGCTCCACTCTCTCCGAAGCCTGGCAGTTCGGATCAGATCCCACGCTAATTCTACGTCACATTCACCAGGATCTCGCCGCACCAGCTGACAGCTGCCGAGACAATCCCGCGCCAAGGACGGCGCCGGCTCCTGAACACCCAGTGCTGAATTTACACACTGACCATGCAGCAATTTATTGCGGGGTGGTGGGAGAAGCCAAGAATCATCCCCCCCCCACCACCACCACCACCACGACACCAGCTTCCACAGTAACATCCCAGCCAGGGTAGAGATTTTTCCCATCCTCCTCCTATTCTGGATTGTTTTTTTTCCCCTCCACGTCCCTCACTGTTTGCCAAACACATTACAACACGCTAGTCGCTTGGCCCACGGCCTCGGGATATTTGTGGCTTCTTTCCCAAGGCTGCCAGCCCTGACTGCTCCCACTCAGGCTTTTAGGGATTGCTCCGTTCTTGGAAAGGGGGGAAAAGGAAAATTTTTCCACTAGCTGCCCCACTGCTTGGCATGGGCACTACCCCGGTGCTTACCGTGCCTTCAGCTCCTTGAACTCCTCCCGCACTTTGCTCAGCTCCAGCTGCAGTCGCGCCCTCTCCTTGGCCACGGAATCCAAGGTCTTGCGGGCATCCGCCAGCTCCGATTCGTAGGCCGACTTGATGCCCGACACCTCGCGGCTCACCACCTCCTCGGATTCGGTGATGCGCAGCCGGAGACCGGCATTCTCCGACTCCAGCGAGCGCACCCGGTCGATGTAGACGGCCAGCCGGTCGTTGAGCTCCTGCAGGTCCTCCTTCTCCTGCAGGCGGGTGATGCGGGTGGGAGAGAGCGGGGTGCCACCCGCCCCACTCCGTGTGGCCCTCTTCTGAGATGGGGTGTCCATCGCGCTTCACAGCCTGGCAGAGAGACGGGAGCACGGGTCAGTGACTCAGATCTCTGGAGCTGCCTTCCCCACGTCTGCGTCTGCCTCGCTGGTACTGACAGTCTGAGTCACTTGCACGGATCTCGGCTCAAATATCCTTGGGAAGTAGGAGATGGGGGAGTGGGAGCGGCTATGTAAAATAGAGCCAGCCCCCTGCTTTGATTATTTAAAGGAGCAGCCACTCCTGGAAGAACAGACTGTTTAAAATAAACAGTCCACAAGGGAAAATTATAGCAAGATGTGCTCAGATGTGAATTTAAACAGCTATAATGATAGTGGTATAATCCCCACATGAGTATTCTGGAAGCCGAGCACCTTTTGCAGTTGAATTTATGCTGTTTTGGACGGGGTTTAACCTGACGTACGAAGTGCCCCTCTTGTTCCAGAATAAAAATAATACATAGCAATCCCTAGTTCTTCTGGGGCACTCTTCATCAGTGGGTCTCAAAGCACTTTACAAAGGAGGTCAGTATCATGATCTCCATTTTACAGGTGGGGAAACTGAGGCAGGGGGCAGGGAAATGACTTGCTCAGGGTCACCCAGCAGGGCAGTGGCAAAGCCAGATCCCCTGAAGCCCAGTGCAGTGTTCTATCCACTAGGCCACCCTGCCTCCAGAATCAGAGCGCTCACACAAGGAGTTAGGGCTTATCTACGTGGGGCAGTTGACAGAATAGCTCCCCAGGTGGACATTCTTATTCCAGAATAAGGTCTTGCCTACAAGGAGACACCCAGGAAAGTTTATCCGAATTAACAAAAGGTGTGAATTTAACCTGCTTTAACCTCACGTGGGCATGCTCATTTGGAATATGAAGCAGCCCACTTCTCATTGGAAGGGGATTAAGCTACGCCAGAAAAAGGCACCCTCGTGCTGGAATAAGAGCGTCCACCTGGAGAGCTATTGCACTTTAAATTCACACCCAGGCTTAATCGGCAACAACTTCCCCTTGTGTAGACAAGCTCTTAGAGCCACCTCCCATCCCAAACCAGATCAGTGCCAGGCCATGGCATCAAGGGACCTTGTGGGTGCTGGGGTGGGGCAGCCACTCAGCACACACAGTAACACCCCTTAAGTGAGCCACATGGTCCAGTGGCTAGTGAGAGTCAAGACTCCCGGGTTCTACAGCCCAGTTTCAGGGACTCAGGAGTCCTGCGTTCTCTTCCGAACATGAGGAGGGAGCCTGGTCTATTAGGCCACGTCTACACTAGGAAATTAGGTCCGTATAACTACACCGCTCAGATGTGACGTGCCACAGCTGTGTCGCTGCAGCGTTTTAAGTGTAGACCAGCCCCTAGTTTGAGCAGGAGCCTGGCATGATACTCGGATCAGGGCGAGGAGTGTGGTCTAGTAGTAGTAATAAAACCAGGAGGGACTCAGGAGTGAATTCACACTGGAGCAGCCAGAGAGAAGTGTTACTAGGATGCTCCAGGCCAGTGGCTCTCAACCTATCCAGACGACTGTCCCCCTTTCAGGAGTCTGATTTGTCTTGCGTACCCCCAAGTTCCACCTCGCTTAAAAATGACTTGCTTACAAAATCGGACATAAAAATACAAAAGCGTCACAGCCACTGTTACTGACAAATTGCTCTCTTTCCCATTGCTCCCATATAATTATAAAATAAATCAACTGGAACATAAATATTGTGCTTACATTTCAGTGTACAGTCATTGTCTGCATGAAATTTTAGCTTGTATTGACTTCGCTGGTGCTTTTTATGTAACCTGTTGTAAAACTAGGCCAATATCTAGATGAGTTGATGTACCCCCAGAAGACCTCTGTGTACCCCTGGTTGAGAACCACCGCTCCAGGGAACGGAAAACCAGTCTTACAAGAGGACACTACAAGAGCTTGGCAAAGCGCAGGCCGAGAGGGGATCTGATTGCTGTCTCTAAATACATCTCGACCAGGTGGTGGGCCAGCATGTTTGCTCTAGACCAGTGATCCCCAACCTTTTCCAGGTGGCGGGCGCCGGATGACGAAACACCAAGGACCATGGCCGGCGGACAAACATCCACCGAAATGCCGCCGAGAAGCAGCAACGTCAAGAGGCGTCGCCATCGAAAATCAGCGGCATTTCGGCGGCAACGCTATAGCAGTGCGTCAAACAGGGGTACGCAGAGGTTTTTCAGGGGGTACATCAACTCATCTAGATATTTGCCTAGGTTTACAACAGGCTACAGAAAAAGCCCTAGCAAAGTCAGTACAAACTAACATTTCATACACTGACTTGTTTATACTGCTCTATATACGACACACCGAAATGTAAGTACAATATTTATATTCCAATTGCTTTATTGTATAATTAAATGGTAAAAATGAGAAAGTCAGCAACTTGTCAGTAATAGTGAGCTGTGACGCTTTTGTATTTTTATGTCTGATTTTTGTAAGCAAGTCGTTTTTAAGTGAGGCGAAACTTGGGGATACACAAGACAAATCAGACTCCTGAAAGAGGTACAGTAGTCTGGAAAGATTGAGAACTATAGCACTTTTTTAAACCCTCGATCTGGCTAGGTAGCTAGACAGGGTCCTTCTCTTTTTTGGGTTTGTCTGTACAGCCCCTAGCACCTGGTCTGTGAGGGAGGCTCCCATGTGCCATCGTAATAATAAATTATAATACCTGGGCACCATCACTGTCAACGCCTCCCCATTCCTGTGTATTTATCCTCACACCCTCTGTGCGGCAGGGCAGTGCCGATATCCCCATTGTACAAATGGGGAAACTGAGGCACAGAGAGGCTAAATGACTCACCCCCTGCCACCAAGGGACTCTGGGGCAGAGCAGGGAATTGAACTGCAGTTTCCTGAGTCCCAGGCTAGGGCCTGAACCACGGGCCCATCTTTCCTCTCCCCTAGTGCTCATAGTACTTTACAAAGGTTATCTGATGGAGGAAACTGAGGCACAGGGGCAGTGCAGTGACTTGCTTAAGGTCACACAATAAATCAGTGGCAGAGCTGGGAATAATACCCAGGTCTCCTAGTACCCAGTCTCCAGCGCTAACTACTAGACCACACTCCCTTCTGGAGCCAGGAATAGAACGCAGGATCCCTGGACACTCCTAACCAATAGGGAAGGCATTAAAAATTGGCAGCTTTACTGAAGCCCTCCTGCACTGTCAATCCATGAAGGCATTGCCCCAGCAAGCACCAGTGCCCTTTAGGGGCAGGGAGGGTTATTGCTAAATCAGTTCTATGCAGGTTCTTTCACCCCACCCCCTTCCAGTCATGCATTAAGCAATGCGACTAATAGCCATTGTTCTCTCGGAGCCTCTCCCCAGGAGAACGGGGCGTGCCACAGAGGGGTTTGTTTTTGGTAGGGTTTTGCTCTGTGTACAGCTGTGCACGCTCACTACAAGCCCTGCCCATGGATACCGCAAGAGAGCAAGGGGGGACATGCACAAGAGTTAGCCAGCTGTGCTCTGCCTCCCACGGGGGCGCGCCAGGCTCTTTCCAGCCCAGGAATGCAAGGCCCAGGATGAGCCCAGATGAGAGCAAGATGGCAGCTCTGATCCCGCACTGGAGCAGGCATCTCTCCTGCCCCTGGACAACATCTTAAAGAGCCAGGAAGTGTGCCCTCCCCTACAGCCCCCCTGCCTTTAACAAAGCCCCTCTCAGATTCAGGCATCTGGACCGTTTGGAGGGGCCCCTGCTAAACTCCACCTTGGAAGCTCAGGGGTGGAGGGAGCTTGGTCGGGGTCAGGGATAAAGGGGGCTCAGTGTTACACAGGTGGGATCGGGGAGGGGGGTTTACGTTAGCAAAGGAGAGGGGCAGTTTGGTGGCAGAGGAAGGGCAGGTGTGGGGGGCTCAGTGATAAAAGCTCAGACTGTTAAGGGGTGGGGGGGAGGGTGTGGTTCACATGGTAGTGATCTAGAGTTATGGCCCAGTCCCTGTGTGTGGGGAGGGATTCGAATGCCTGACGGGATCGAGGGCAGGAACCATCGTTGTTCTGTACAGCACCTAGCACCATGGGGTCCTGCTTCTGCGACTCCTGGGCGCTATCACAATGTAGACAGTGATGACGAAAGACAGCTTGGGGGTGGCAGAGTGTGGGGCTCAGGAGGGGTGAAAGCCTGGGGGAGATGGAGAAGGGGCTTTGTGGTACACATGATAAGGGGGCCTGGGGCTCACCCATGAGCAATGTAACACCAAGCGGGGCAGAGGGGGTCTGGGACAGAAAGGGTTTGCTTGGTGCCCGGATCACACTCCCAGCAGACAGAAAGGGGAAAGGAGCTGCCCTTTAATAATAATTAACGGAGATATCCCATCTCCTCGAGCTGGAAGGGACCTTGAAAGGTCATCAAGTCCATCCCCCTGCCTTCACTAGCAGGACCAAGTACTGATTTTTGCCCCAGATCCCCAAGTGGCCCCCTCAAGGATTGAACTCACACCCCTGGGTTTAGCAGGCCAATGTGCAAACCACTGAGCTAGCCCTCCCTTTCCCCTGCCCCCTATAGGGGCTTGGAGTGGGGCAGGGTCACTGCGCCCTTGGTCACAGCTTCTCTTCTCTGCAGAGGCAGCGTTTGGAGGGAAGCCCCCCGCAGGGTTAGCCCACCCCAGCCCCTCTTCCCCCATCGCTGAGCATTACTTACCCCACCCAGCGCTCCCCCAGGGAGCAGCCCCCTCGACCTGCCTCCTTAAACCACTGCACCAGCCAACCACACAGCCCCCTCCTTATCTGCAGCAGCTGCGCGGGGGGAGAGCCTGCCTCATGCCTCTGCCCTCGAAGGGGTTAATCTCCAGCGGTCCCTCTGCACCCAGCCCTTGCCTTCAATGAGTGTGTGCTGATGACGCAGCGATTCTCATTGGTTGATGGGGTTGTCACTCTGCCTAGCTTCTCTTCCCTCCCCCACCCCACCCCACCCCCACCCCCTTTTTTTTTTCCTTTTTTTGTCTGCCCCTGCAGTTTGGATTCATCTCTCTCAAACCCAGGCAGTTGTTTTTCAAATCCCAGCTCTCCTGGGGGGTGGGGGGCAGAGAAAAAGTAGGGAGCATGAAGCTGGCAGCCCCTCCAGGCCCCCCCAAAAAGATGGCCAATAAAAAGACCCCCTGTCCCCCGCAAATATAACTGATAAATATAGAATTATGGCATTGGCTTAACGATCAGTAATTTCCCCCTCTATAAAAATATACCTAATACACATGAGCAAGAGAGAGAGAAATCTCCTGGGTGTCAAGCCAGTCTCGTGACTGGGGCCGGGGGGGGCTCTGCCTGCTGATTTTTGATGGCCTGGGGTTGGCTTTTCTGTGTCTCGCCTCCGGCCCTCACTCCACCTAGATGGTTTGCATTCTGGAGGCTGCTGATTAAAGACCCTGGCAGGAGAGAAAATCCCTCTAAGAGGGAGGCGCTCTGGGCACAAATGGCGGGGGACCAGAGCTGCCCTCGGTGACTCTCACAGGGGTGGCGGGTTAAGGGTAGAAGATAGCAGCGGGGCTAAGTGGAGGAGACTGGACGCTCTCTAGGGGTACGTCGGAGCGATCCTCCCAGCACGAGAAGACAGACTACAGCGTGTGCTACTCCCCGTGGCCGCTGGCTCGCACCTGCACATCTGTGGCGTACCGCATGGGGGGAAGGGGGTTTGCAAGCCAAGTAACCATGGCCCCATAAATGCCATCTTGTATTTGGCTCCCCCCAGGAGGCAGGACAGCCTAGTGCTGGGACACAGGAGAGCTGGCTTCCATCCCTAGCTCTGCCACCAGCCTGCTGGGTGGCCTTTGGCAAATCACAGCGCCGCTCTGTGCCTCAGTTTCCCCATCTGTAAAACGAGGAGAATGATACTGACTCTCTCTGTAAAGCGCTTTGAGAGCTATGGATCAAAAATGCTAGAGAAGAGCCAGGGCTTATTACATTTAAAAAAATACAACCATTGCCAATTCTGGTGATTTTATCACCAGTCTCGTGATAGTTGGCATGTTTCTTAAAGCCCCAGCTCCTGGAGGCCTGTGATTAGGTGAGAATCTTAGGGGTTTTTTTGCTAGCCCTTGTAGATGTGGAGAAAAGCTGGAAAACGTTATTATTATTTATTATTTGCACTAGGGTAGTGCCAGTCATGGACCAGGACCCCATGGTGCCAGGCGCTGCACAACCACAGAACAAAAAGACAGTCCCTGCCCCCAGGAGCTTCTGACCCCTAAAGACTCTAACCCCAGAAGGCAATTAAAGGAACCCCCACATTTATTATGTTTTTAAAATCCTGGCAGTGGTCCCAGGAAGGCTACAGTGTAGGAGCAGGTCATGCCCCAGGTGGCAGGCTGCAGAGCAAACCCTTTCTCACCTCTGCGGTGCACACCCCATATCCTGCATCTGGAGATCACACGAGCGAAAAATCAGAACCGGCGGTTTCACCACCACACAACTTCACGTGACGGAAAGGAGGCTCGGGGCGGATATGGGGGCTGCGAGTCGGGATTGAGGGGCATTGGCAGAGCTGTGTGGGAAAGGAGCCCGAGACTGGAATAGCGGGGAGACCGTGAGTCGGGATTGAGGGGCATCAGCCATGTGGGGAGCCCAGGAGTGGTATAACAGGGGGGCCTGCACGTCAGGATTGAGGGGCATTGGCGGAGCTGCAGGTGGGTCAATCACCCAGCACCCACACACACAAGCCCTGATTCAGTCTGGTGCTCCCAACTCCTGTCTGAAATTAGACACAATTCCCTCCCAAGCTAATTAGAAAGAAGCAAAACTGCCTGGTTTGCAAGGCAGCCGGGCGGGTGACTCACTCTGCAGCCACGGCAACATACACACAGTCCAGCTTTTATGAATAAGTAATCTGATTTCTCTCCGTCATGGCAACGGTGAGTCACTGACTGTCAACAAACAAAAGTGGGGGGGAGGTTCTGCTCCTGGCGGAGCAGCGGAGAATCTGCCCCAATCCCAGCAAAGATTAAAGGTCCAACTTTCAAAAAATAACATTTCCAGTCCGGGAAGCCACATGGTCTCGTAATTGCAGCCACAGGGCTGGCGTGGGTTCAGGGGGTGTGGCGAGCCAGGCAGCTTTCTGCTCACAAACGCTGGCTTCTAGGAATCATAGGATCATAGACTATCAGGTTGGAAGGGACCTCAGGAGATCATCTAGTCCAACCCCCTGCTCAAAGCAGGACCAATCCCCAACTACATCATCCCAGCCAGGGCTTTGTCAAGCCTGACCGTAAAAACCTCGAAGGAAGGAGATTCCACCACCTCCCTAGGGAACCTATTCCAGTGCTTCACCACCCTCCTAGGGAAATAGTGTTTCCTAATATCCAACCTAGACCTCCCCCACTGCAACTTGAGACCGTTACTCCTTGTTCTGTCATCTGGTACCACTGAGAACAGTCGAGCTCCATCCTCTTTGGAACCCCCCTGCAGGGAGCTGAAGGCTGCTATCAAATCCCCCCTCATTCTTCTCTTCTGCAAACTAAATAACCCCAGTTCCCTCAGCCTCTCCTCATAAGTCATGTGCTCCAGCCCCCTAATCATTTTTGCTGCCCTCCGCTGGACTCTTTCCAATTTTTCCACATCCTTCTTGTAGTGTGGGGCCCAAAACTGGACACAGTACTCCAGATGAGGCCTCACCACTGTCGAATAGAGGGGAATGATCACATCCCCTGATCTGCTGGCAGACAAGGAGACAGACAAGACCCAGTAGGTCACCCTGGCCAATGCAGGATTGTTGTCTAGTACTAACGTCCAACATCTTATCCAACATAGGTTTAACAGTGTTTCCACCACTTCCCTCCTGTGGCCAGGGCATGAGGGCTGCAAACTGCCCTTTGCGTGCCATCCCCTGGTCCTGAGGCTGCTGTGGGCCAGGCCGGTACTGCCCACCTCCCAGCATTAGAGCGGCTGGCTCCCTCCAGCTGCCAACTGGGCCTTGCAGCAGCTGGGCTGAAATGCATGGAAAATGAACTCCAGTAGCGCAGTGTAAATCTGGAGCGACTCCACCCAAGCTGCTGGATTTACACCAGTCAGTGACTGAGAGCAGAATGGGAGCCGATGGCAGCCCTTCCCTGTGCCGGGGAGATCCCTGCCGCGTTGCTGAGCTGCGGGAGGGAGTTCCCCAGTAAATCAGGAAGTTCCACGGCTCCAGACATGATGGAGAAGGGGCCAGCGGGTCTGAATTCTGCCAGGCTGTTGTGTGGGGGCGGGGAGGGGCAGGTGGGAGGGAATTCACCCACACTCCCATCAGCTGGGGCTTCTCTTCCCCTGCACCTTTGGTTTAGCCGTCTCCCGCAGCCGACTTCTCCCGCAGCCCAATTCGTATGTGAAAAACCCACCTGCTCCAGCACATGGCTGCAGAGCCTATAATTAACTGGGGTGCAGGGGGGCTGGCACCCCAACGTGGAAGCTTTCTGGGGGTCACTGAACCCTAGGCTGGATGCAGGAATTGCTGGGTGGGGCTCTCTGGCCTGACTAGCCAGGTGGGTCAGACAGGATGATCTGAGCCTTGAAATCTATGAGTCAAGTGGAGGAGGCGGCATGGATATTTAATAACATTTCCCTCTCCCAAAAAAGGCAACTAGACTTGAGCCCAGATCCCCACAGAGAGGGCAGTCAGGGTCCCCCAATAAGGCGATACCCTTTAACTCAAAGTATTAGTACTGAGCTCTGGAGTCCCGCTTTTCTCACAGCACTTTACCAAGGAGGTCAGTATCTTTATCCCCTTTTTACAGGTGGGGAAACTGAGGCACAAGTGACTTGCCCAAGGTCACCCAGCAGGCTAGTGACAGGGCCAGGAATAGAACCTAGGTCTACTGAGTGCTCTATCCAATAGGCTACACTGCCTGTCAAAGGACACCCTCACACACAGCCATTTGTCCCACCTTCCGCCCACAGCCAGCCTGAGTCCCCGCTGCCCCGCAGTGCAAAGTGGCTGCAAAATGCTCTCATCCTGGTTAAACAGCCTTTTATACCCAGTGGGTCAGATTCTCATTTACCCTTTACGCCACCCTGGCAGCGTAAACAGGCCTTAGAGTGGATATGAGTGTCATGTCCACCCGTTTTCCAGGAGCTAAACACAGCCAATTCAGCGTCAACAGGCCTGACTGTATTGGGAAGCTGGCCCACTGCCTGTGTGCTGATGTAAATGACCCCGTGAGGAGCTGGGCCCAAAGCTCCCCCAACACGCTGGGGCAGAAGCCTGCGGTGCTGTGTCTAGCTCGGTGGCCACAGGGCAGTTTCATTCTGTCAGCTCCAGCAGCAGAAAGGAAGAGCGAATGCACAAACAGGGCTGCTTGTGCGCCAGCTGGAACGAAACAGCCTCCCCAGAGCCCAGCGCTCCCTCTCTCCTGGACACTACCACGTTCTTTCTTCCTCCCTCACACTTCTCTTTGCTTCCTGTCTTTCTCTTGTATTCTTTTTTCCCTTCTTCAGTCCCTCTTTTTTCCTGCCTTCAATTCATTCTTTCCTTCTTCCATTTTTTCTTTCTTTCTTCTTCTCTTTACTTCATGTTTTTTATTCTCCTTCTTCCCTCCTTTCTCCTTCTTTCCTTCTGTCTCTCTCACTTCTTTTCCCTTTATCCCCTTCCTTCCTTCCATTTTCTCCCTTTTTGCCATCCTGTCTTTCTTTCTTCTCTCTCTCTCTCTCTCTCTCTCATACACCTCTCTCTTCATGTCCAGCACAGGGCCTGGTCCCCTGTTCTGGAATCTGCCTCTGACAGAACTCCATACCTCATGCTTCCTTGAACCACTGCGTGCCACTTGCCTCTCCAGGCAGGATGTGTGGCTGGGTGGAGTGAGGTGCAATGGGACCTTCTCCCTATGGGG